GTTTGTATTCTATGGGGTTTTTATTTTAATAAAATATTAAAAAATAAATTAAATAATTTTAAAAATAAAATCACGCGGGTTTTATTTGATTTACTCTACAAGACCGGTGACGTCATGACGCAAACGTGGCGACGTCATCACGCAAGCCAGGTGACGTCATTGCGTCACATGCAAATTAGCACGTGGCGTCATCTGGCGACATCTAGCGACTTTTGGGGGGAACTTCAGCTACTTTCAGTCAAAAACAGTTGACAACACTGGACAGACACACAGCAGAGCACATGCGGGCGGAGGGAGACGAGAGGGAATGAGGAGGAAAAAGGCGAGCGAGAGAGTGGAAAGTGCGACAAAGACAGTGAGAATATGAGCGACAGCAGTCGGAAAGTAGAAATTTCTTGAAGTGTTCAGTAAATAAATCCAAATAAATTATAAATATTTGATAATTGCATTTTTTTACATTAGTAAATAATTTTACATGTAGTTTAGCATTATTTTTGGTGATAAATATACTTTACGCAGCAGAAAATCTGAGGAGCCACTTGGGAGCCGAAAGAGCCGGCTCTTTTTGGTGAGCTGAGCCAAAAGAACCGGCTCTGGAATTCCCATCACTAATTCTGGACCTTTCTTCCACACAAACAGTCTTTAAATCTTGAAAGTTTCTTGGGCCTCTTTTATTAACTTTGATCTTCAGCTCTCTCCATAGATTTCTATATGAGTTAGGTCAGGTGATTGCCTGGGTTATTCAAGCAATTGGATTTCCTTTCTTTGAAACCAATTCATTGTTTCCTTGGCCTTGTGTTTGGGATCATCGTCCGGCTAAAATGTCCACCCTCTTTTCATCTTCAGCTTTCTTGTAGATGGCAGCAGATTTTCATCCAGAATGTTCCAGTACATTTATATTTATGTGTATAGTTATTTATTTGGAAGACGCTTTTATCCAAAGCGACGTACAATTTTTAACCTATAGAGCATGTTGTGATCGGTGGGAGTAACCGGTGTAACTGGGGCAAACATGCAACTCCAACGCCTCAGAAAGGCCGCAGCCGAGTTTCGAACCTGCAACCTTCTTGTTGCGAGACAGCAGTGCTAACAACCGCACCACCATGCAGCTTCATCCTGCCTTCAATAACATGAAGTCTGCCAGTATCCCTTGCTGAAAAGCAGCCCCACACCATGATGCTTCCACCTCCAAACCTAACTGTTGGTTTGGTTTCCTGGGATGGTGGGCAGTTCCACTTCCTCTCCAGTTTTCTTTGAAATGTGTCACAAGTGCAGCTGAGGTCAGGGGTAGAGGTGAGGATCCAAAGATGAAAGAGACAAGTAGGCTGACAGGATGGATTTTTGTCCTACACACCACCAACAACAACCCACCAAACACAACTGTTGCATCAGTCACATCGCTTGTCCTTCTTTCAGCTCCCTGGACACTGCCAACGGGTGAGTGGTAGTGAAACACACACCACCTACCACATGAATATGGACCACAAAGACTCTCCTCAGTGATCTGCTGCAACAGATGCGTATCCACATCGCTGTCCGATGCGCCATCGCTGCCACCGCGGTCCCTCTTGAGTGGCCCCGTTACTACCGACTGAATGGCCTTACCTGCTTTCTTCCTCCCATCCTTCGTCATTCAACGAATGTCTTTCCAACACCCCACGGCTGCTTCCCTGCCCTGTGTGCCTCCTAGGTAATGACAAGCCTTTATAGGCCATCAAGCAGTTGAAATCAGTAAGTACTGAGAGAGGGCATGGGTTTTCACTTAATACTGACTTCCAGTTCCATTTTTGGTTCTTTTTTTTAACACAAATAAGGTTTTTCTTTACCTTGCTGACATTTCGTTTGCGGCTGCAAACTTCCTCAGAGCTGACGCTGATGGTGGCGTCACTTCCTACTCCGTTTATCCGCAGGCAGCAGAGGATGTTGTCGCCCTCTGCTGCCCGCTCTCCCCTCCTCGATGATGCAGTCCCGTGCGCGATCCAATGAGTAAACTCCATTGTCTCTGTTCATGGTCTCGCATCCACATCTCCTTATCTCGATTGCTTCTTTTATACATCTTTCGTATTTCTGTTGTTCGGGGTTTATGATCCTTGTGTTGTCCCAGTCCATTACATGGTTTTCTCTTGTGCAGTGATCTGTTACGGCCGATTTCTTCATTGTGCTTTCTGTTTCTTGTTTTGCTGCTCTTGTGTGTTTTTGACTTGTTTCTTCCTCACACTCCTTTCTGTGTTCTATTGTTCGTGTGTTGAGTTAGCGCCCGGTTTCTCCTATGTATGTTTTATTGCAGAGTTTGCATGGGATTTTGTAAGTGACTCCACATTTATGTCCAGCTGGTATCTTGTCTTTTGGGTGTACTAGTCTGTTTCTGACTGTTGTGTATGGTTTTATTGGTGTGTTTATGGTGTGTTTATGTTGTGTTGTGTTGCTCTTATTTTTTCTGTTATGCCTTTGATGTATGGTAGAGTTATCACTAGTTTTGGTTCTTGTCTTTCTGGGTGTCTGGTTCTTTGTGTAGATTGTTCTTTTCTTTCTGTTGTTGTTTGTTGTTTTCCTTTGTTTATTGCCCATGTCGGGTATGTGCAGGTCTTAAAAGCGTGTTGTATGTGTTTGTCCTCTTGTTTACGGTCTCTTTCTTCTGTTACCATGTTTGCTCGGTGATATAATGTTCTGATTACTGACATTTTGTGTGTGGTAGGGTGTTCTGATGTCCATAATAAATACTGGTTAGTGTGTGTTGGTTTCCTATATGTGTTTATGTTTAGGGTCCCATCAGACTGTCTGCTTATTTTCATGTCCATAAATGCTATACTGCCTTCTGTTTCTAACTCATAAGTGAATTTTATGTTGCCTGTGTCGTCAATGTTGTTCAAGTGTTGTGTTAGTGTTTCTGTTTGACCTTTCGGAATGATTTCCAGTATATCGTCTACGTAGCGTTTCCATAGTTTTATTTTGCAGTTGGGGGGGGGGGGGGGGGGGCAGTGGCTATGGCTTTTTGTTCCAGGTCTTCCATGAAAAACTCACACAGGGTGGCTGATAACGGGTTACCCATGGCGAAGCCTTCCAGTTGTTTGTATATTGTGTCATCGTATGTGAAGTAAGTGGAGTTAGCTACCAGTCCTATCAGCTGTGCTATGTCATCTGCTGTGAGGTTTGTTCTTTTGTGTAAAGATTTGTCCCGTCTGATTCATGTCTATGGTTGGATGGGTTGGTGTTTTTGTGAACAGGGATGTGACGTCATGTGAGATGAGTATGTCGTTATTTTCTATTGTAATCTTTTTTAGTTCTTTTGCCAGTTCTATACTATTTTTGCAGTGTTGATCTGTGTTACCTAATAACGGGCTGATGATTTTGCTGATTTGTTTTGCCATATTGTATGTTGGTGTAGCTTGGTCTAAGTGGGGTGGTGTTGTTTACGAAATCCCATGCAAACTCTGCAATAAAACACCGGACGCCAACTCAACACACGAACAATAGAACATAGAAAGGAGTGTGAGAAAGAAACAAGTTGAAGACACACAAGAGCAGCAAAACAAGAAGCAGAAAGCACAATAAAGAAATCTGCCGTAACAGATCACTGCACAAGAGAAAACCATGTAATGGACTGGGACAACACAAGGAGCATAAACACCAAACAACAGAACTACAAAAGATGGATAAAAGAAGCTATAGAGATAAGGAGACGTGGATGTGGGACCATGAACAGAGACGATGGGGTCTACACATTAGATCGTGCATGGGACTGCATCATCGGAGAGGGGAGAGCGGGCAGCGGAAGTGACGCCAGTGCCACCATCAGCGTCAGCTCTGAGGATGTTTGCAGCTGCAAATAAAACTGTCAACAAGGTAAAGAGAAACCTTATCTGTGTTAAAAAAAATAACCAAAAATGGAAATTGAAGGCAAACACAGCAAAAACGTACAAAAGATGTTTAAAGAAAAATACTGACTTCAAGTGTTCCCCTGGTTTTCTACGACATTTTGCACCTTGTTCTTGTTGTGTGTTTAAAGAGCAACTAACACCTAAAGAAACTTTTTTGACTGACAAATGCGTCTAATTGCGCTGTAGACATCAGTTGTCATTATTCTGGCATTTTAGTGCATCTCATTTAAAATTTGAAAATTCAGCCAGAAACTAATTATTTCTCCCCCATTAGGGTAAAATTCTGCTCCACATTGATTTTGAATCAGCCACAGCTGATGATGTCTGTACTGTACTGCGTGGCTGCACTGCACTGTACTCTAGCTGAGTCTTGATACGGCTGGGAGCCGCTTGTTTAAAAAAATGTCCTCCTCCCTTTCTGCTAGTGATTGAGGTGGAGCGAAAACCCTCTAGCCTGCTGCAGTTTTTCTGCTCATTTTACTCAGCGGTGAGTCTGCTGTGTGTGCACGCTCACACGCACGTGCAAGTGTGTGCGCTTCTTAACGACTTGTATTTGTGACTGAGAAACTCCAAGAGCGCATGGGAGCGGGTTGAGGGGCGTGCTGTCAATCACTGCGTCAGTTCTGCTCTCTTGGCCCACCATCTCATAATTCTTTACTCTGTAAGTTTTACACCTTTTGATAAAGGTTTTCTCCCATTGAGAAGTCATTAGGAGACTCTAATTATAAAGAACCTCCCTGTTGTTTTCCTTACATCAATTTAAATATTATCTTTGTGCCACTTTAGGGATGGTGCTGTTCTCTGGTTCAGGTCATGCTGAGTCAGTCTGGCTTTTGAAGACCAACAGCAAGATAACATTTTACAATGTTTTTTATTTGACATTGAGAATAGTAAACATTCTTAGGATTATAAATGTATTCAAGTGGTTGTGAAACAGCAGCAGCACTTAATTCCTGTTCGGAGTCATGCTGTTATAATATTTTTGCTAAATGGTGGTTCCAAACCTCTAAATGATGATCGTGTGTGTGTGTGTGTGTGTGTGTGTGTGTGTGTGTGTGTGTGTGTGTGTGTGTGTGTGTGTGTGTGTGTGTGTGTGTGTGTTCATCACCACCCAACTCTTGGTATCAATGTAATATCAATTTCTTTTATTTTTAATTTGAAAAATAACTTACATAAATCTCTGTACTCAACCATACTTCACCAAGACATAGCCTTGGTATTAACACATTGCACCAAAAAGATTAAATTAAAAGGCATTCAAAAGGATAAATAACATATGTCTTTGTCATCATGAGGCATTCTTCCAGTTCCAAAAGAGTCCATAAAGATTTTTATGGTTGTTTAATTATTCAAGTCCTGACATCTGAATATATGCACAAGGTAATCTAAACTGAAAATATAGATTTTTTTTTTCTGTTACAGCAACAAGGTTTGTTTTAGAACTGTTAAAATCAAATTTCCTCCAGTGGAAAAAGAATAATACCTCAGTTCAAATTCATTCAGACATATTGCAACTCTAGGACTCTTTTACTTCCCAAAAATGAGAAGCTTTTATAATTTATTAAAAATACAAAATAAAAATAAACAGGTCTTGGCTTTTAAATAAAACTAACAAAAATATAGTAACTTAATTTCATTTTCATCAAGGCAAGAAAACAAAACTTTGACTGTGGCAATATCCCATATTATTATTTGAACTTATGATTTGCTCATCTTCCCTAACAGTTCCTGCAAAAACACACAAAAAAAAAAACAAATTAAAATAAATACATAAAGAAGAAGAAAAAACAGAGTAACAAACATTTCTTGCATGTTTGTTGACACTTGATTTCAAAAGGAAGTCCTGGTGTACCAGTACAGATAATTGCATGTTTGTCAACAGTAAATATATATTTAAAAAAACACTTTAAATCATATTTATGTTGCCAGCATCAATAAATATAAAATATTTTTCTTGTTGTTTAAATTTTTTACCTGAAAGAAAATATGACTTTGGGCGGTGGAATGTTTTATTTTTTAAACCTCAATACTTGGTCGTTAAAGACCAACAACTAATTTGCTGCTCAATTTACTGTGAGGGAGAAAAGTAATAAAGTTTACATGCACTGTACAAGAATCTGCAAAAATTCCAAATATCATCTATATCAAAACATGCTAAGTTACTGTAAGGTGTGCCCAAGACATGTTGCAGAAAACCCTTTTCAACATGCTTGTTAAAAAAATCAAATCAAACACTTAAAAATGTAATTAAACAATCCAGAACTGTAAAAGCAACCAGCAGTCCTGACATCTGGACATACCAGGGGACTGAATAATGAATACTACAATGAGAAGTACCCTTGGACAAGGAAGAAAAAGAGAAACGTACAATTTGCACATACAGTTTATATTTATAAGGCAGAAGCCTTTTTTTACAATGAAATTAATAATTAATATTTATTTTCATTGTCTTTTTTTTCTTTAATTAGTCCAAAGGATTATTTTAACGTTTCCCTATCTGCATGTCTGTGAAACACAGACTCATGAATGGTCTAAACGTCTTTTGTTTTTTTATGATGTTGCATTCACTCTGCTTGAAAACCATGCATTATTGAAATTTATCTTTAAAAATAATATAAACTGTTGAAAATGGCTGATCTCTTTTATTTCTTTTTCTTTTTTGCAAGTTGCAGCCCCAAGAAAATACATTTTTTTAATTCAGCTACGTTTGTGCCCATGCAAATTAACTAAAAAAAGGAAAATACTTTTTCTCATTTAATTTTCATACAACAAAGAAAGACTATTAAAGATTGTACATTTTTTCCATGGGGTTGGGATTGTTACTATATACTCTGGAGTTTTGATAGTGGCCTTTTCAGTATTGCACCTGATCATTGATCAGCACAGATCAATCACCTCCTAAACTCAGAGAACACACTGCCTCCCTCCTGTTGGACGAGAATAAAGTCACCCCTGTCAAAGTGGTGCTCTCCAAACTGCGTGCACACAGCTAGGTCTGTTGGCATGGTGTGACCAAGCATCTGATTAGAAACATTGTCCCCCTCCCCCTTGAGATACAAGAACATCAAAATGAACAGAAATAAACAAACAAAAATGACATGAAACAAAACAAAGATAAAATATCAAAGCAACGCATTGATTTTTCATTCAAAAAGGGCCTCTGAAGAACTCGTTCAGTGGTTCCCAGTGCTGGCCCTCATGGCTTCAAATTGGAAGAAAACTGGGAACGGATGTGTTCCTCGTGCTAAGGAGTTTGTTCCATCTTCCTTTGCATAACAACACCTGGCATTCCCTGCCAGTGGGTGCTTTGCAACACACTTTGCCACGTGCACAATGTGCGCAACGTTTTTGCTTAAAACACAGGATCACGTTTGCACATCCCTGGAAACAGGCTCAGAAGACACAACATCAAGCATGCAGTGTAACCGGGGCTTGTGACCTGTTGTTGCAACACTGGCTGCTACACCATTGCTATGAGTCCACACGCTGCTATGATCGAGAGAAACTGTCCAGTGAGGATTGGGAAGCTCTTCTTGTCAGTGGGGCTAGAGTTGGGTCAACCAGAGAGGAAGGAGGAAAGAGCTTGTACCAGCCGATCACCATATTGGACAGGTCCAGGTCATTTAACAGTATCTGAACTGCACCCATGAAGGACTTATGATCCATGCGTCCATAATCACCCCAAACAATGACCTGAAAACAAGAGAGAAATGGCCATTGAAAAATTACGAATGTTGGGAAACAATTTAAAATTTCTTTAGCTTTTTATGTAATTTCTTTTTTTTGTACCTGTAAAACTTTCCCTCCAGGACTCTCCTCAAACGGCAGTTGCTGCTGGTAAAGAGGATCCAATGTTTTTCTTGCTACTTTAGTTTTCTTTTTGGCTATGCAGACTCCATTCTCCAAAAGGTAGACTTTTACATATGGTGCTAGAATTGAGGAAAGAGGACAGTCATTACAATGTACCTCACCTCCTGTACCAGAAAACCAACCCAATTTAATTAAAGTTAAAGTCCCATTCGTCGTTAAACACTGGTGAAATAATTTTTCCGCATTTGACGCACCCCCTGGGGGAGTGTTGAGCTGCAGACACGGCAGCGCTCGGTAACTATTTGGTGGTTTGAACTCCAGATCAAACCCCTTAATGCTGAGTGTCAAGCAGGGAGGTGTTGTGTCCCATTCTTAAAGTCTTTGATTTGACCCGACCATGGATTTGAACCCACAATCTTCCAGTCCCAGGGCTGGCACTCATATCGCCAGGCCACTGAGCTGGTATATTATTAAATAGAACTCTGATAAAAAGATCTGTCCCCTTTAACATTTTCACTGGAGAGCTTAAACTACCTGGCAGTGCCTTGGAACCTGGTTTTCCTACAAGGCCTCGGGCTCTAATGACCTCCACCTCCAGGGCTCCTTTTTTCTCCACCATGCCAATCTGAATGTCCCCTAAAATAAAACAACACATTTTAAACCAATACAAGGCTTTGATTGCTTCCAAAAATATTGAATCAACATGATTAATAATGAAAAGCTGTTCTTACCCATTGGTGGAGTAGCCAAGGTCTGACGTCCAACCAGCTGGGCAGGGCCGAGACCATCCAGGAAGTCACTGAGCTGAGCGTCTGAAGAGAGCCTCACGCCAGGAAAGATGAGGCTTAAAAAGAACACGCATTGTAACATCATTGACTGAGTTAAGCATGGGGCTGTTGTGAATTATTATCAGGAGGTAGAGCAGGTTGTCCAGTACTAAGAAAGTTGTAGGTTCAGTCCCAGCACCTGCCAGAGAATGCTGATGTGTCCTTGGGCAAGACACTTAAGGTGGTTTTCTAGGAGCACTACTCAGAGCATCTCGGACCGATGCAGCTCAGCATGAGCTTTGTTCACAAGAGCACGGTTTTGTATTTTCCCTATACTTTCTCCCCTATTTTTATTATCTGCTCCACTGAGGAACCTGGCAAGGCTGAGTCAGACCGGCATCATGATTCTGGCTGCTGATTGTTTAGTTGCTGGTTGCTCCGGAGTTTTTTGCCTTCTGTTTCACTGCCTGCAGCCATTTCATGGTTCATAGTCTGGCAAAAAGCTATAAAACTGAAGAAAATGTCCAGCAACACCACCATTTTTCAGCTCTGTGGAGCATACAAGTGACTAGGGATGGGTACCTTTGACACTTGTATCGATACGGTACCAATTCCTTGTACCTACTGTACGAATCAATACCGATACTTCATGGTACCAATTTTTGATACTTTTGAGTGTTTAATAATTATTTAAATCTATTTTTAATTAAATATACATGCCCTCTGGAATAATGACGATGAGGAGACCATGTATTATAAACTACAAATGAAACTAAAGCAAACTTTGATACCATACAACTGTTTGTATTTTAATATTGTGGTGTCTCACAAACTAATACCCAGCTCCAGTTACTCCTCTTGCTCTCCTTTCTCCTCTGGACAAACTGTGTGATGGTTGGGTCCTTGTAATATTAGAGACTGTAAATTGAACTGAAGCAAACATCTTTGCTGTGAACTAAATGTACTGTGTATCTTCATTACTTTTGACATTGTTTTTCAAACTTTCCTACTCGGAAGTTGGAATTTCCGAGGAGAAAGCAAACACACCATTAGTTGATAGCAATGTAAACAGAAGCTAAATTATTGAGCTAACTTTATCTTAAACAGCTTATTTTGCTGCTGGGGTAGATTAAGATGATGATGCTTCACACTGAAATCGTTGCTGCTGATTTCATCAACACCCAATCACCCATCCCATTTAGTGAACTGGACCCAAACTTTAGAGTGCTTCGTCTCTGCCATGCTGCTTGCTCTGTTTACAGCTCACCCACAGTGACTGCTGGCATTATACTCTTGTGCTGGCGCTGCTGTCTATCTTGGCAAATCATTCTCTTGCAAGTTCTTGTTATGAAGGACAGGTACCGAAACAAGGCACCATTTCATTTGATGTAAATCGGTACCCCATCCGTACTATAGAATTCAGTCTTAGCCTTAAAAAGTACCAAATCCGGTACCCATCTCTACAACTAAACTGGAAACAAAACTACACTCAGAGGGTCTGACTCAAACAACGCTGGACAGAGCAGTTTTAGGCTGAGTAGTGTTCCTGGTAAACCACATTTAACCTGCCCTGTCTGCTGGTGGTGGCACCAGTGTTCAGCAGTTTCACTCCCTTCATTGTGCCCCAGGTCAGCTGTGGCTACATTGTAGCTCATCACCTGTGTGTGGATGTGTGAGAGATGTCTGAGGTCATATATCAACAATTGCTATTTTGTGGGTCTGAAGCTGAAAACATTGGGAGCCACTGGTCATTAAAGGGATGGACATCTGGGACTGGGTTGATTGCAGAAGTTCATCAGCTGCAGATGAACATGCAGACCGATTATTCAATTTTGAGTTTTATTAGAATCTTCCAGTGGTCCATGAGATTTATATGAATATATAATAAATACAAGAGCAGCAGCCTTTTTTAGACAGAGATTCTGGTCTCCTTACTTTCCCTCGGAGCTGTAGCTGTTCATGCTGCCATCTGTGGACTCCCGACTGGCCTTCCGAGTCATCCTGCTCCTCATCTCCACCGCCAAACCCGTCTCTGTACTCCTCTGAACGGTGCTCCGTAACTTTTTACCTCCTGCTTCTACAATTAAAAGGAAAGAGAGGGACAAAGACTGTGAATCCATGAATCAGAATATGAGACAGTGAGCTGCACTTGGGAAGTTACATTGCCTCTGATTCCATAAGCTCTGGGATTGCTTGTTTTATACAGAGCAGAACAAAGTGTACAGCCCTCCACTGGTTCACGTGTTCCCACTGCCCCCAGGGATCCAGCAGGAGTCACAGCGTGTTGTTACTTCACTTCAACCCCTCCACTACAACCATCCTAACTGATCCAAGAAGACAGCTGACTCTCCCCATTAGGTATGCTAGTGCTCAGCCTCACACAGCACACTTGCAAGACCACATGGTGATGCCTGTGCCATATTTAAACATACCTACACATGTACAGCATGAACACCTCACAACTGCTGATCAACACATAAACACAAACAGACACAAACACATACAGGACCTCAGTTCAGGAATTACTACAGATAAATAAAAATGGTTTATAAAACAAAACCGACCCCCAATTAGAGAAAACCCTCAAAATAGACAATGTGGGCCTTAAATCAGGCTCCTCTGTGTTTGTATTTATCGCAATATTAGTTCTATGGAAATCTAATCAGGGAATAACACATCTAATCCAGTGATCTCCAAACAAGCTTCTTTGATAAAGTTATGAGAACAGGACATTATTTCTCAATAATCCAACCAACACTGTGATGCCTAATGATGGGTAAATGAATCAGACCTGTAAACAGTGCAGTACACAAGAGTGCAAACTATGGACAAATAATTGGTTTCCATGGCTCTTTTGTCACAATGCCCTCAAAATGTTTCAGTTTGTGAGGAAGTTACATTCAATTTCTGATCCATTTAGAATGAAAGATGTTCTGTGCTCTTTTTCTTGCACTCTGTAACCATTAATGAAGCTTTTCAGCCTTGAAATATCTGTTATGTAGCTGGCCTCCACCCCCTCTTCCTGCTGTTTAGACTTTGCAAAATGAAATGCAGCTACAGAGGTCGTCTCTGACGTCTGCATCAAACCTTCTCAGCCAATCACTGGCAAGGTATAATTTATCAATGAAAAGACACTTTCAAAGCAAATCAATTATGTGACCTTAGTTGTGACAATCATTATGAGATTTGTCTTATTGTAGAGATTAAAATAGTAAAAATGCAACAAAATACCATAGTACCAAGACACCAAACTTCAATATAATGAACTGGTAAAGAAAAATCTTTTAATCTGAAAGAAATAAATGGTATCAAGTATCAAAATAAATATGACAATGCTACAACAACTGTTCAGGTTTCAGTTGATTCAATCCTCAAGACAACATACAATTATGACAAGCATTCATGACCAAACTGATTTCTTAAGCATCTATTTCCCCACAACTGATGACAGCAGAAGTAAAAACAAACACGGATCTTGAAAAAGAAAAAGGCAAAACATCTGGCCTGATGATGCTCAATCTCAGTGCAGCTTTTGATACTGTGGGTCACAACATCCATCTTGATAGGCTCATAAACTGGGTGGGACGTTCAGGCACACTCCATAGTTGGTTCTAATCTCACTTAAAGACAGAGGTTATGTTGTTTCTATTGGTGATCACAAATCAAAGCTGATCACCATGACATGTGGGGTCCCCCAAGGCTCAATTCTTGGATCACTACTCTTCAATCCTACATTTTCCCTCTGGGTCAGGTTATGAGCAATAACAACATTACCTATCACAGTTATGCAGATGACACCATGATCTACCCTGTCTCGACCTAGCTCTATCACCTTGTGACTGTGGTCCCCTAGACTCACTGTATCAATGTTTGGAACAACAAGATTGACTGGATACAATCAAACTTCTTCCATTTAAACAAAGACTGAAATTATTGACTTTGGAAATAAGGAGGATAGGATGGAGGTTATTGTTCAACTTGGCTCCAAAGGAATAAAAACAAAGAGCCAGGTTAGAAACCATTGTGTCATAATTGATACAGATCTGAGCTTCACTGGTCACATTGAGGCTATAACTAGATCAGCGTCTTCATCAAATAGCCAGACTCAGAGGTCTCATATCCCAACAAGACCTAGAGAAACTCAGCAGGCTGGACTACTGCAATGGTCTTTGAAAAAGCAGAAAAAACTTGTGAAACAACTGCAGCTTATTCAGAATGTGGCTGCTAGAATCTTAACAAGAACCAAGAGAACCGAGCACATCAATCCTGTTCTTAAATCTCTACACTGGCTCCCAGTAAACTGCATAATCAATTTCAAAGTGCTTCTACTAGTTTATAAATCACTCAATGGCATGGCACCGGAATACATGTTGGATCTCCTTCCAGTATGTACGCCAAGCGGGGCTCTGAGATCCTTAGGAAGTAGTCAGCTGGTAGAACCTCGGGTCAGAACCAAACAAGGTGAAGCTCCTTTTAGCTACCATGCTGCACACAGCTGGAATCAGCTTCCTGATGACCTCAACTCTAGTACATTTTTAATCAAAATTGAAAACCTTTATGATTTTATCAGCCTTTCTTATGCAGCACGTTCTACACTGTGACTGCTCACCCTTTAACTTTGTCTGTTTCTATTTAATATTTAAATTTTCTGTCAAGTTGATTTTAATGTTCTTGCCATTCTTGCTAATGGAAAGCACAATTAATTGCCTCTGTGTATGAAATGTGCTATACGAATAAAACTGCATTGCCTAGCTTCAATGATCAACTGACCTTTCATTTTAATGTTTTAAATTACCAATTGAAATCCTGCTGGAGCATTCATTATTTGCTAATTGAACTACACCATCATCTTACACAATCATCAGCTAATGCCCTTGCTGCAGCTCCCCCTCTCTCGAATCAATATCAGTTCATCCCTACCACAGATTCTTTATTCTTATTTGCAGCCTTCATTCGATTTAGTCACCCCACCCCCCTGCAAGCAAGCAGCTACTAATATGAAATTTTCATATCCGTCATCTTACCTCCGTCTTCCTCATCAAATGAGTTCATGCAGGGGAAATAGACAGCCAGAGCTTCAAACGACGCAGATAGGCTGATCCTGCTCTGGGAGCACTGGATACGCATCCCCTGAGTGGTAGCAGAGGTATCATGCCCCTGTCTTCCCATGGTGACTAGGAGCTGTCTTCCTCAGTGAACTTAATCAAATTTACAAGACGTCAGTTTTTTTCAAGCTATTTTGCCCTCTCTTTCTCAGCCTTGTTGTGCAGGATGATGCCGCAATGCAGAGGATTTTATTCAGGGATGAAAAAATAGCTGCTTCCTCAATGCTCAGTTTGCTGCATCTTAGGTAGATGGTGTAGGAATATGCTGCGTTGGTATTCAAGTCTTGTTCTGTCTGGGTCTAACACTCTTGCTGCACCTCCTTCAGCAGGAGGGGGAGGGGAGAGCGCTGTTTCTTGTTTTACCAATCAGAAGGCTTTGCTGCTCAGGCGCACCTCTGCTGGCTCTGCAGTTCAACAAGCTCTACCCGGAGATACTGAGCCCCCCTCCCGACTCTTCTCCCCATCATTTTTTAATCTCATCTTTTAACATTTGCTATTTCTTTTCTCTCCATCAGATAATTGTTTTGTGCCTCCTGAGTGATGCATTATAGATATTTACCTTCTCTTTTCATCCAGTTAAACCCTCTGTCCCATCTACAGTGTAACTCAGCTGCCATTAAGTGGGCTGGCAGAGGGCTCGTCCACATGGCCCTCACTCAGATTTCACGTGGCAAACACCATTTGGTGCTTTTCTAGCTGACAGTATCACACTGTGTTGTTTGCTTCACTTTGTCAGATCTCTGTTTACAGAGAAAACAAACTAAGCTTGGCTGGAACCAAGTTTATTTAGAAATTGATTGTGAACCTTAAGTATTTACAGTAAAGTGGAATGTGCATTTTAGTTGTTGATGCTAAATTCCCTTTGTTTATTTTTCATGCTTCAAATAAATTAAACTTGACGTTTTACAACAGCAAAATTATCTAGGTAAAGTTACAGATTTAATGAAAATGTTAAGAAACAGCAACTTGGTTTAAAAAGTTTACCTTTCTTTTCTTTGCACATTTTGATAATGCCATGGTAACGCCTCCGTAGTCTGACTCTCTTGTGTCTGCAGGCCTGCACATGAATGTCTCTTAGCTGCATTGATGCTGGATAAGTAATGTGCATGAACATGGCTTTATGTGTGCGCTGGCAGTCAACATCACCACGGTTACATCTTCATCTCACACCAGGGTCGCTCTAAGAACTTGAAATTCACTGTGTCCAAATTCAAATGTTTCATCCTCATCAGGCCGAATACGTCACAGCACTTCATCCTTCTTTTCTGTGGGTTTAAGGGAGGTGTCTGGTATACCCACCCAATCCCAAGAATCATTGCAGGCCTAACAGAAGATTTATTTCTTGTAATAAAGTCAGAGGAGGTGGGAGAAGTTTACAGATTTCCATGTATGCATATTAAAATCTGGTGGTACAAAAACTAAAGGCTTGTTGGCCAGGTGGCCTGGTTCTTTGAAGGATGCTAGGTCTGAACATGGACAGAGCCCTAATCTTACAAAACAAAGTGCTGGACTCAGATTGGTTCTAACCATTAAAAAGGACATTATGTGGAAGAAACTGATTCCAGACACCCTCAGAACCCCAATCACATTGGTGCCTGTATTTTAGCTATTGTGTGATGAATACATAATTTTAAAGAGCAAGCTCACTGAGATTTTTTAAATATAGGTCACTCAGAGTTTCACATGCAGGGTGAACATGAAAACATTGTTCTACCCTTATTCCCTACTTTAGTCACCAATAGAAAACAGACAGGGAAATGCTAAGTAACAAAAGCCACACAGATCTATGCCACACTGAAAAATAGCATTCATCTTAGCTCTAGACAGGGAAGGCTATTTTTGATTTAGCATCCAGAGTGCATTTTGACCAATAGAAGCTAACTGTTAGCATTAGCAACTCCAAAACATGGCTGAAATCCTTCAGGTTTGTGTTACCTGTGGAGAAAAAATATCTACTTTGCAAAGCAAGCAG